AGATCGATGTCGGAGGAGCGCGGCCTATCGCCCTGAAGTGTCGTAAGTTGCGGGTCCGGTTTGGGGAGAAGCTGGCGGACTTGATCAAGGGTCTGTTATCTGTCAAGATGATCAATTACTCTAGATCACCGTGGGCTTCTTCGACCGTGGTGATCATCAAGAAGAACGGAGTGAATATCAGGTTGTGCATCGATTACCGATTGGTTAACAGTCTAACTCAGCTGATGATCTACCCAATGCCCTTGATCAACGACTTACTTGAAGATCTGGAATCGACACTCTGGTACTGTTCTTTGGATATGGCGAGGGGATTTTGGGTAGTGAAAATGACGCATCGTGCTCGTTTGATCTCGTTTTTTATCACCCCCTTTGGGCAATTTGAATGGAAGCGAATGACCTTTGGCTTGAAAAATGCGCCCCGATCTATCAACGTATGATCGACAACGCAGTTAGTGGATTCACCCGGATCCCGAAGTCTGAAGATCACAGAAGTGTTTGAGGACGCGGAACCGGTGGATCCAGGCAAGCCATCGGTGCTTGGGCGTAGATCACACATCGACGACATCCTGATCACAGCCAATAACTGGGATCAAGTATATGATCGAGTTGAAGGTTTACTCGAAGCGTGCGATAAGCGGAATCTGTCGATCGGTGTGGTTAGGAGCTTCTGGGGAATGCCTAAGGTGGAATATCTGGGTCATAAGGTCTCCCACAATGGACTGGAGGCGAATTCAAAGGATCGGTTGGCTTTGACTGCCCTACCATTTCCAGGATCACTTAACGTCATGCAGTCATTTTTAGGGAGTCTGAACTACTACAGTCGATTTATCGAAGACTACGCGATCTACGCGTCAGTTCTGTATGAATTGCAAGAAACCGACTTCGCCGCGATGATGAGGGACACCAGCCAAGTACGGATCCAACAAGTGCTAGAGGTGGAGAGTGTGGATCCAGAATCACAGGAGGATCAAGCGATCGACCACCAGAAGACTCTGGATATGGAAGCGCAAGATCTCATTGAAGTGGATCCACGTTGGATCCATGCCTATCGGTCGTTCGACGTGCTTAAGTCCAAGATCGCCACTACTTCGATCCTGCGGCACTTTGATCCAGATCGAAGAGCTACGGTTGTGATGTATGCGAGTGAGGGACCATTTCGGGATCGTTGATGCAGGAATATGACAAGATCTACTACCCCGTGATGTTTGCTAGCCGTACGTTGAAGTCAAATGAGCTGAATTATGGCATCGCGGAGAAGGAAGTACTGGCCTTGCTGAGAATCCTGGATCTTAACTATAACGCCTTGGTCGGACGCCCATCCATGTATTGACCCGACACCCTACTTTGGCGTGGCGGTTCAGATCCACAGCCCTACAAGGACGTTTAGGTCAATTGGCTGCACTACTATCGCCGAGGATTCTCGAGATCACTAAGTGTGTCAAGGGTGAAGATGAGATCCTAGAAACATTGGCAGCGAGCGTCACGCCTAGATCACTGGTGGATAAGGCGTTGATCTCGATCGCCCCTAAGAAGGAACCCCAGCGCAAGATCCAGGTTCCGCTCCCCACTATTGGGTGCGACGACGATCTATACGCCGTTAGTTTTGATGGATCTGCTCGGGTCAAGAGAGGTGGCGGCGCCTACAGCGCGATATTGTGGGAATTGCCCTAATGGGGAGCGTTAAAAACTAGATCTGGATACGCCGAAGGTCGGACAGTGAACGAGGCAGAATATCATGGGTTGCGGTTGTGTTTGGATCTGCTGGAAGACTTGGATCCACTACGTCTAGTGATCTGCGGAGACTCGAACCTGGTTATCCGACAAGTACGAGGTGAGATTGACTGTAAGGCACCACGTTTGACAATACTACACCAGAGGACTCTAGATCGACGACGAACTTGGCCAGATCATGAGTTGTTGCATGTCAAACGAGATTGGAATGGGCGTGCCAACAGCTGCGCTGCAACGACAATGTGGGATCGAGGTTGAATCTGAGAATAAGATCCAGGATCTAGTGACCTTGAACCGGTTAGATGAGATCCTGGTAGTGAAGATCGAAGATGAGGCCGCTCACGTATCGGCTGTAACGACCCGATCTAAGGCTAGATCCGGAGTGCGAGCTGGGTCTGATCCAGACTCATTTTACGAGAGGAAGTTGTGAGAGAACTGCGGATCAAGCGGATCCGGCAAATACAGGATGAGGAGACGTGGATCTTAGGATTGAAGAAGTATTTGGTTGGAGAGATTCGAGATCTGA